CCTATAGCCCTATAGCTCTATAACCCCATAATTAGCCTCATAGCCCTATAGGCAATATAGCCCTCTTAGCCCTCTTAGCCCTATAGCCCTATAGCCCTATAGCCCTATAGCCCTATAGCCCTATAGCCCTGTAGCCCTATAGCCTCATAGCCTTGTAGCCTTGTAGACTTAAAGACTTATAGCCCTCTAGCCCTGTAGTTATATAGTCCTATAGTCCTATTGATATATAGCTCTATAGCCCTATAGCCCTACAGTCATATTGCCATATCGTCCCAGAGCCTTATAGCCCTGTAGCCTTATAGCCCTACAGCCCCATAAACTTATAGCCATAAAAATAATAAGATTGGGATGCTTCTCTGGTATCATATAATTAGGTGGAGTATGGCGCCGATTTCGGCGGCACGCCCGGTTGCCCGGGTGCCTGGGCGCCCGGGTGCCCGGGTAGCTGGGTGCCCCGGATGCCGGGGTGCCCGGGCGCGTCGGGTGCCCGGGTGCCCGGGTGCCTGGGTGGCCGGGTGGCCGGGTGCCGGGTGCCCGGGTGCCCAAGTGCCCAGGTGCCCGGGTGCCGGGTAGCTATAGCCCTATAGCCTTATAGCCCTATAGCCTTATAGCCTTACAGCCCTATGGCCCTATGGCCCCATAGCCCTATAGCCCTATAGCCCTAATGCCCTAATAGCCCTGCAGCCCTAGGGCCCTATAGCCGTATAGCCATAGCCCTATAGCCTTATAGCCTCACAGCGTTATAGACTTATAGCCCTATTGTCCTATAGCCATATAGCCCCATAACCCTATAGCCCTATAGCCCCATAGCCCTACAGCCATATAGCCATACAGCCCCATAGTCTTATAGCCCTATAGCCTTAATAGCCCTATAGCCCTATAGCCCTATAGCACTACAGCCCTATAGCCCTATAGCGTTACAGCCTTATAGACTTATAGCCCTATAGCCCTACAGCCCTATAGCCCGTTAACCCTGTAGACCTATAGCCCTATAGCCCTATAGCCCTACGGGCCTTTAGCCCTATAGCCCTATAGCCCTATAGCCCTATAGCCCCAGAGCCTTATAGCCCTATAGCCCTATAGCCCCACAGCCCTATAGCCCAAAAAAAATTATGACTGGGGTTTTCTCTCCAATATCATTTGGATAAGTGAAATATGGCGCCGATTCGGCGGCACGCCCGGGTGCCCGGGTGGCCAGGTGCCCGAATGCCGGGTTGCCCGGTTGCCCAGGTGCCCGGGTGCCTGGGTGTTCGGGTGTCCAGGTGCCCGGGTGCCCGGGTGCCCGGGTGCCAAGATGCCAGGGTGCCCAGGTGCCCAGGTGCCCAGGTGTTCGGGTGCCGGGTAGCCCTACAGCCCTATAGCCCTATAACCCTATAGCCCTATAACCTTATAGCCTTGTAGCTCTATAGCTCTATAGCCCTATAGCCCTCTAGCCCTCTAGCCCTATAGTCTTATAGCCTTATATCCCTATAGCCCCACAGCCTTATAGCCCGATTGCCCTATATCTCTCGCCTTCGCACCGCGCACAATCAAAAAAAATGCAAGAGCTTCACGGATTGAGGGCGGGCCGTTTTCAAAATGTAGCTCTCGCCTTCGCGCCGCGTACATTCGATTTTCGCGCCGCATACATTCGTTTTAACAATATGCAAGAGTTTATTAACGGATTCCCATGATCAGCGTACCAGAAGTAACGTTTTGGAAGGAATCAGGGTTATGAGGGAGCAAAAGTTGCGTTGATTCGGGGTGGCATTGAAGTCCAAAGAATGGCGTTCTGGCACGATTCAGGGTCGTCAAGACGCAACAGTCAAGTTGATCCGTGGCGTTGGAATCCAGTGAACAATATTTTGGCATGCTTCAGGGTCTTCAAACGGTTGTTTTCCAACGAGGCAGTTTCCTAAGTGGAAACGAACCATTGTAGGGGCCTATGAAGATGGAGCCTGGAGGGGGGGTTATTCCAACATCGTTGATGACTCTTGGTTTTACACTGGTCCTCCTCCTCCTCCTCCTCCTCCTCCTCCTCCTCCTCTTCCTCCTCCTCCTCCTCCTCCTCGCCCTCCTCCTCCTCGAGCCGATCAAGAGCCTCCTGGGGGAAGAGGGGGACAGGCCCACGCCGCGGGGCCTCGCAGTCCCCGAGCCGTTCCCAGCGCTGGGGGCCGCCCCCCTCGCCCGCCAGCGTCGCGAGCTCCCCTAGCCTGGCCGGCGGCCGATCGTCGCAGGGGCGCTCTGAGATCCGCCCCCCCCCCCCCCTGGAAGGGGTGAAGGGGGGCGGGCTTCGTCGAGGGGGCTTGGGGCTCGAGGTTGTTGGACGTCTTCAACGGTTCTCTGCGGTCTTTCGGTCTCGGGATGCTGTCCAGCAGCTCCGCCTCGCCGAGAGCGTTCCAGGGCTGCCCGCATCGTCCCGTACGACCGCCAGGAGGCCCCAGCCATGACCCGAAAACCAATTCTCCGACGACACGATGTTTCAAGTCGAACGTTTTTCCACTGTTTCGACCTCACGGGGCCCGCTGTCGAGCCCTCGGCCATCACCCCAGACGAAAAGCTAACCTGGGAAGGGCCGTCGGTACATCGAGAGTCGCAAAAAAAAATCGGTGGATATCAGGGGGGAGACGAGAGGGCGGAGAGGAGAGAGCGGAGGGGGAGAGGGCAAGATAGCTGCGCTCGAGCCACATCTGACATCCTGCACCTCCTTCCCATGTGCTGATGTGTTTCTATCCGCGGACGCGTGTCGTAGCCGACCTTGAACTCCAGAAGACGACCCCATCGCGTTATGCGGACAGAAAAGAGGAGCTGCGTACATAAGGGGAGGACGTGGCGGGTGAGCAGACGAATGAGCAGGAAGGAGGAAGAGGACAAGGGGAGGAAAACAGCAGCAGCAGCAGCAGCAGCAGCAGCAGCAGCAGCCGGAACTGGAGTGGAGGGAGCTGGCCACCATCTGGACGGAGCCGGGGAAGGGACGAGAGCTCATGCTGCGCAAGTGAAGAGGAGGAGGGGGCGGAGGAGGAGGAGGAGGAAAAGGAGAAGGAGGAGGAGGAGGAGGAGGAAAAGGGGGCTGGAGGTGCGCACCCAGGCGGGAGCGGCGCGAGGGGGGCGCTGCCCTCCGAGGGGCCGGGGGCGTCTCGAAGTCACAGGCCTCCTCAGGAGGGCCCGCGAGAGGCCTCTGCGAAGGCTTCGCGGGAGGCCGCCCCCCTCGCGCCACCCCCACATGCGCGCCCCGCCAAGGAAGGGGATGGAGGAACTGGGAAGAGGGAGACAATGCTCGACCTGAACCGTGCTTTCCGTTTTCGTGTTGTTCCCAACCATAATGTGGTGTTGGGTTCTCGTTTTGAAGAGGGCGCCCCGCGTTCCTCTCCTCCTCCTCCTCTCCTCCTCCCTCCTCCCTGCGCTTCACCCACCCAGCATAGCGTTTCGTGACCGCGTAGGGAGCTCCACCGAAGGCCCCCAGTGGCAGGTTTCGCACGGCGGCCTCGGGCCATCTCGGCACACACACACACACACCCCTTCACCAGTGGCAGGGTTCGCATGGCGGACTCGGGCCATTTCGGCACACCCCTCACGAGGATCGTGGCCTCATCAGGAGCTCCACCGAAGGTCCCAGTGGTAGGGTTCGCGTGGCGGCTTCGGGCCATTTCGGCACACCCATCACGAGGATCGTGGCCACATAGGGAGCTTCGCCGAAGGCGCCTGGTTTCGCGCGGCGGCCTCGGGCCATTTCGGCACGCCCCTCACGAGGATCGTGGCCCCAAAGGGAGTTCCACCGAAGGCCCCCAGTGGCAGGGTTCGCACGGCGGCCTCGCGCCATCTCGGCACACCCCTCACGAAAATCGCAACCCCATAGGGAGCTCCACCGAAGGTCCCAGTGGTAGGGTTCGCACGGCGGCCTCGGGCCATCTCGGCGCACCCCTCTCGAGGATCGTGGCCACATAGGGAGCTTCGCCGAGGGCCCCAATGGCATGGTTCGCACGTCGGCCTGGTTCGCACGTCGGCCTCGGGTCGTTTCCGCACACCCCTCACGAGGACCGTGGCCCCATAGGGAGCCCCGCAGAAGGCCCCAGCGGCAGGGCTCGCACGGCGGCCTCGGGCCATTCTGGCACACCCCTCGCGAAGATCGCGGCCGCATAAGGAGCTTCACCGAGGGCGCCAGTGGCAGGGCTCGCGCGGCGGCCTCGGGCTTCCTCGGCGCACCCCTTCACGAGGATCGTGGCCCCGTAGGAGCTCCAGCGAAGGCGCCAGTGGCAAAGTTCGCACGGCGGCCCCGGGCCATGTCGGCACACCCCCCGCGAGGATCGTGGCCCCGAAAAACTCCACCGAAGGCGCCAGTAGCAGGGTTCGAACGGCGGCCCCGGGCCATTGCGGCACACCGTTCACGGGGATCGTGGCCCCATAGTTGTGCTACTTCAACAACCGCGCCTGGGCGTCGTACTCTGCCTCATCGACGTGCAACGCCACATCCTCCCTCATGGCTCTCAGAGCCCTCTCCTGTTTCTGCTCCTCGGTCAGAGGGACGCCGTCCTTGTCGTCGTAGGCGCCCGCGAAGACGGCCACGAACGTGTTCCTGAGCATGTCTGGCTCCGGCGGGAAGCCGTGGCCACATAGGGAGCGCGGGCGAAGAAGGTATTCACAAGTGCGGTGTTCACAACTGCAAATGGTTGGGTCCTTCGCCAGGTTAATGTTCCTCTTTTCGCTCGTTCCGCCTTTGCTGCAGATCGGCATCAGAAGGAAAACGGCCCACGAGATCGCTAAATCACCGTTTGGGTCAACCCCTGGAGGGGTAGGGGGACGAGGAGGAGGTGAAAGAGGGGGGAGGAGGGGGACGAGGAGGAAGTGAAAGAGGTTAAAGAGGACGAGGATATGCAGAGAAGACAGGTGGGGAGGACGGCGCTGAGGAGGAGGAGGAGGTATGATATGAGGAGAGAGGTGTTAGACGAAGCCAGGACGAGGACAACATCGGGAGAGGATAAATCGAGTCTCTGGGATACGGCGGTTCTGGAAGATGTCTCGGGCGCCGCGGCTTTCTCACAGCGTTCTGGAACGCTCTGAGAGCGTTCCAGAACGCTTTGGAACTGATTTGTCCTCGTCCTAGTCCCGCCCGAAGGCGTGAGATGAGGAACAAAATAAAGGCAAGGATGGGGGAGAGGCCAGATCCCGACTTGGGCTGCGGTTCTGGCCCCCTTCGGCCGCTGCCGCAGCGCCAGCACCGGGGGCGCGTCCTCGCTTTCTTCCCACCGAGGTGAAGACAACGACCACTTCGACGACGACCACCACCACCACGACCACCACTACCACCACGACGGCCACGACGACCATGACGACGACCATCACCAAGACGAGCACGACGACCACGGCGACGAGGGCGGAAGCGGGGAGGAGGAGAACAACGGCGACAAGGACGAGCAGGGCGAGGACGCGAAGGGGGGGAGGAAGATGTGGGGAGGGGTGCAAGCTAGATGCGCTCGCGCTTTATCTGACATGTTACCCCTCCCTCCCATCCCATCCCATCCTATTGCTCTGATTTGTTATATATAAAATGTAATATATATATATATATATATGTATACATATATATATATATATCAGCGGACGCGTCTCACAGCCGACATGAAACTCAAACAAAAAACTGAGACCCCATCGTGGTATGCACAATCGGAGGAGGGGAACTGAGTGCATGGGAGGAGGTGACGGGTGAGCGGAAAGATGAACAAAAAGGTGGAGGATGTGGAAGGAGGACGAGGACGAATTGCAGCAGGAACTAGAGCGGGCGGAGCCAGAGGAGGAGGAGAACCAGGTCAAGGCAGTAGAGGGGAAAGGTGGGGGCGACAACGATGAGGGAGGACTCGGATCCAGAAAAATGGCCCGCGCTGCGGCGGGAGTGCAATTCTGAAGGACGGGAGCAGAGCCGCAATTCTGAAGGACGGGAGAACAACATGTTGGAAGACAGAGAACGTTCGGGTCATGAATAAACACGTAAAAACAGATCAGCTCGCCCACATCAATTGTTAAAGAACAATACGCGAAGGGGGGGGCGGACACTCTCAGGATAGATTCGGGTGAGAGAGGAGAGAAGTATTCATATCGTCTAGCTCTGGACGGAGGAGGACGAGGAGGACAAGGAGGGGGGAATATGAGGATGTAAAAAAGTACGGGGGGGACTCGTAGCACGTGGTTAAAGCCAACCCCGCTCAAGAAGTTTCCTGTTCTGGTCTGTGGGGGGGACATCACCCCCATGCGTTCTGTGAGTTCCAGTGGAAGCAGTTCGTGTTCTTGTGCGGCCAGGGCGAACACATGGGTACGCCGCCTCGCTCACATTAACAACATGTTATGGCGGTATGCAAATGCCACGGGTGCCGCAAGATGCTGGGCCATGACAGCACGTGGCGTTATCATTGGAAAGCGCCATGCGGTGAGTCTGATCATAATCGTTATTGTCATGGTTGTGGCGATTCTCAGTACGAAAGGATGAAGAACAGTGACAAATACAGGGGCCCACCTACTGGCCAGCCTCAGCCGGACCCCAACCATCAGTCCCAGAACTTCGGGCACTGCTTTACCAGGGTGTCCAGGCTGGCAGTAATAAGTGTACCGACCTCACACATCTAATGAGCATAACAAGGAAGTGTACCGACCTCACACATGTAATAAGTGTACCGACCTCACACATGTACCGAACTCACACAAGTGTACCGACCTCACACACTGGGAGGAAAACAGAAGGCACAACTATGCCCAAGTCCTGCATCCAGAGTTTGTCATAAAACGTGAGCAAGTGCATGAGAAGCATACCAACAAGCTGGCCAAACTTGAAAATGAATGGGAGAGACTTGGGAAGAAGGTTCAGGATCATGGACAGCGAAGGAGAAGGTGGAGGACGAGGTCAAGGAGGAGAAAGAGACCCTCGCCAAGACCATGCAGGACGCCCCACACCTTCTAGAGCCCAAGTTCACCATTCCAACCATCTCAGCCCTCCAGGCAGCGGTCACTGGCTGGGAGACGATGGCCGCCAGCTTCGTGCCCGCAGGTGAAACCTCAGTGAGCATCAAAGAGGCCCCCGAGACTATATACCAGGAGACTTTGGAAACTCTTACCAGAGCCTATGGCCCCTGCCCAAGCCGAAGCAGGGGCGACACCTGGGGCAGCATCGGGGGGAGAGGCAGGTCACGAGGATTGGGGCGTAAATCTCTGCCAACACTGACGGCGCGGCTGCAATGATTGATAGTTTGTCTGAGCCAGCATCCGGCTCCAGGCGGAAGCTGGATTCTCTGGTGGAATCTCTGGGCGGAAGCTGGTGGAAAGTTATCAGTTAATATGAATCATAAGGTCTGAAACCAGCGTTAAGGCAAAAGACACGCACCCCCCGCAAGGAGGAGGAGCAGGAGCTGTTGCAGCCAGGACTGGCGAAAGCGAAAGAGGACAAGAAAGAGTCACGTCCAGCTCCCCTAAAGACGAGCATCATGGAATCGATCAAGCCTCCGAATCTTCACATCTTGAACCCAATGACGCTGACGATGTTGTCCCACTTTCCTGCCCTCTTAGCCGGATACCTCGCCCCAAGACAGTATTGTTGACTGGGCTTGCTACCGTGAGGGCACTGGCCAGCGCAGAATCTTACGCGGGAGAGGCAGGATGAAAATGTGATTGGCCCGCCCCATAACCCATCACGGGAGCCCTGCGGGGCATACAGTCGAACCTGGGACAGAAGAACATCCTGATCCTTCAAAAGAACACGAGACCCTCCGCTGGCCAAAGCACACAGAACGTCCAATGGTACCCTCCCCAGGGTGCACAAGAACATCCAACAAACACGAAGACCATCAGGGTACCCTCCCCGAACAGACCTCGATCTTGTACCTCGGTTCGACTGTACCTTTGGGGGAAGGGCCAGAGGGGCCTGGCGACGCGCCTGGCGTGATTGATGTCCACGGAGCCGCCTGGCAGCAAAGCCCAGATGCCCCATACAGGAGAGCCGCGGGACATGGCTGGGGGAAGGGCACGAGGGGCCAGAGCGCCTTGGCGCTGGCCAACCTCTGGCGCCAACTTCACCGCAAGTCAGTCTCGCGGGGGCTAGCCGCCAGCTGCGGCGTCTCGGCACCGTCGTCTGGTCAAGCCACTCCACTCCACACCCCCTGCTCCTCCTCGTCCTCCTCGACTTCCTCGTCCCCTGAGTATTATTGTTATTATCAATACTATTACATCCGTCCTCCTCTTCAATATCCTCCTCCTCCTCCTCAGCAGCATCAGCAGCATCAACATCAGCATCATCATAAGCACCATCATGGTGCTCATAATCAGCACCATCGTCATCATCAGCAGCGTCATCATCATCATCATCAGCAGCAACGACATAATTAGTATCAACAATCCTGATTATCAACGGCGTCACCCATATCATGTTCATCACCACCACCACCAACACCACGACCACCACAACCACCAGCAGCAGCATCATCATCAGCAGCAGCATCAGCATCAGCATCATCACCAGCAGCAGCATCATCACAACCACCATCATCATCATCATCATCATCATCATCATCATCATCATCATAATCAGCATCATCATCATCATCATCATCATCATCATCATCATCATCATCATCATCATCATCATCATCATCATTATCGTGGTCATCATCAGATTCATCACCCCCACCACCATCATCATCATCATCAGCAGCATCAGCATCATCGGCATCGTCATTGTCGTGGTTATAATCCTATAGCCGTCGCCACCAACATATTAGATGTATCACCTACCGCAGCATCGCAATCATCCTCATAAGTAAAATCAGTATCAGCGTCATAATCCTCATCCTCGTCGGCATGATCATCATCATCAGAATAAGCATCATCATCATCATCATCAGCATCATCATCAGCATCAACATCATCTTCACCATCATCACCAGCATCCGAATCATCATTATCATTATCATCAAGAACAACAGCAACACACGTTTCCTCAGCATCCCCCTCATCATCACCATCAGCATCCGCATCCGCTTCCCATCGGTATTGTCATCCTCGCCACCACCATCATCATCATCAACAGCAACAAGGGCATCACCCTAATGAACAGAATCTTCATCATCATCATCATCATCATCATCAGCATCATCAGCATCATCATCATCCGCATCATCATCAGCAGCATCATCATCAGCATCATCATCACCATCAGCATCATCATCGTCACCATCACCATCAGCAGCAACATCATCATCGCTATCGTTGCCATGCTCATCGTCGTCTGTACCAACACCATCACCATCGCATCGCCATCAGTATCATCCGCATCATCATCACCATCATCGTCATCAGCATCATAATCCTCACCAGTATAACAATCGTCATCATCAAAAACGTGATAACGAAAGTAACAACAACAGAAATCAGCAACAATAACAAGAACAACAACGACAGCGAAAACTGCAAGCACATGATCATCATCAACATCAGCATCAACATCATCATCGTCGTCATGATCACCGTAATCACGATGATCATCAACATCATCGTGGTCGTTGCCATCACCAGAAATGGCATCGCCGCTGTCGTTACAAACAACACCAACACCACACCAAACACCACCACCACCACAATCATCACATTCATCCATCCCCCGCCTCCCAGCGAGGAGCAGCCTGCGAAGTTACCAGAATGAGTGTGAAGTCATATGAGAAAAAGTGCGAATCAGAAATGCAGTACTGCAAACCAGCTTGGACCATTCGAGGCTGTCAAATCCGGGTGATTGTTGCGCATCCCGTGCACGAGTTTTTGTAGTGCACAGGCATGCGCATTGTATAAGGGGCCTGGTAGAAGCATGGTTGAGGAGGGTTAGCAGCATGAGGAAAAAGAAACTGCCCGCCCACCCTCCCGGCCCACATCCCTCGCTAACGTGGGCTACGACACCCGCCAGTCGGCGATGGCCCCCCGCACTCTCCTCCTCCTCATTCGGGGAGACGTAGGACTCGGGTACGAGGGACTCGGGTTGGCCTGGCGAGGCCGTCAAGAAAATGACGAGACCCAGTCTGAAATTTGACGCGAGCTCCCGCTGTCAACATCCCACGAAAACTGGATCGTCAAAATCCAAGACGCGCTCGTCAAAAAGCGCCGGCAAACCCGAGTTCCGGCGTGCTCGAGTCTTGCGCTTCCCCGACTGACCCTCAGCATCAGACCTCCTTCCTTCCAAAGCCCTTTTGCGGCAGCGTCCCAACTCCCAACGAGTCGGCTCGGAGGGCCGAGAGGCACGCGGCCCTCGGGGGCTGTGGGGGTGGCGGCGAGGCCCGCGAGGGTGGTGACGGACCATTTAGGACTCCAGGCCGAGCGTGCGCTCTGTCGTCGTCATCCTCCTCCTCCTCCTCCTCCTCCTCCTCCTCCTCCCCCATCCTCCTCCTCCTCGTCGCCGTCCTCGTCGTCATCGTCGTCGGCGTCGCCGCCGTCGTCATCGTCGTCGAGGGCTCCAGGCCGGCGCTCGAGGGCCAGAGCTTCCCATGCTTCTGTGCGGCGGCAGATTCAGGAGTCGTTTCGTGAAGAAGCGAGGATGAGGGGCTCTGCGAGGCTCGTTCGCTGCAGAGCGTGTGGCTAAGATTGCTACGCCCGTCGTCCATCGTCCGATCGAGGAAGTCGTTCGTCAGAGGCGGAATCGCAAGCCTACGTCCCACCAATTTGTGATCTTCCCTGGAGATAGGGTTGTGTGCACGGTGTGCTGGCGATTGGCCTGCACCCCGTATTCCCTCACGCCAGTGTGATCCCCAGCAGAATGGCCCTGGCCACCAGATGCAGGAGCTCGACAGGACGATTATTTGTGTGCGATGTGGAGCGCACGCCGTGCGGCCCAACAGGCTGTCCGTGGGTCTCACGCGTGTCTGCAGCAAAGCTAATGGTGCGGCGGCGGGAATCCTGGGGGGGGGGGCGGTCTCGAGGATGATGGAGCTGGCGCGCAGAGGCTTGCACACAAAGACTGCGAAGAAGCTGGAGCCTTTAGTATACTCTGAGCTGATGCCGCTGCAGAGTGCGGCCGCCGCCAACTAATCTCGCGCGTTCGCTCAGGTGTTTGCTCGCAGGTGAGTGTGTGTGTGTGTGCGCGCGTAGTTTCTGTGTGCGCACGTGCTGTCATGCATGTGTGGTCTCTCTTTCCTTTCAGAGGTTCGCTCCCGATTCGGTTGCGCTGCCTCGGCACTGTTCTCACGATTATCCTCCTCCATCCCTGTTCCTTGTGAATAACTCCTCCCTGTCGCATCCCGAGGCCAGTCGGAAGGGCGGGCAGGGCGTTTCACCAGAGACTTCCTCACCAATTCTGATCCTGAAGCTTAGAATTAGAAACAGTTTCAAGGATGAAGGGCGGGTCGCTTTCAAAACGTTGCTCTCTCCTTAGCGCCGCGCACATCCGTCTTGAAAACTTACAAAAGCTTCACGGATTGAAGACAGGTGGTTTTCAAAATGTGGCTATCGCCTTCGCGATACGCGCATTCGTTTTTTTTTAATTACAGTTTTGCTGATGGAGGGCGAGTCGCTTTTAAAATATGGCTCTCGCCTTAGCGCCGCGCACATCAGATTTAAAACATTGGAGGAATGTTGCGGATGGAGGGCGGGTCGTTGTCAAAATAAAGCTCTCGCCTCAGCGCCGCGCGCGTCCGGCTTAAACATGTACAACAGTTTCACAGGTTGAGCGCGGTTCGTTGTCAAAATGTGGCTCTTGCCTGAGCGCCGCGCGCATCCGTCTTAAACATGTGCAAGAGTTTCACGAAGTCCCATGGTTAACGTACCAGAGATGGTTCTGGAAGGGATCAGGGCTGCCAGGGCGCAAAAGTTGCGTTGATCTGCGGCGTTGAAGTCCCAGGAGAAGTGCTCTGGCATGATGGGATCGTCAATGAAGCAACAGTCAAGTTGATTCGTGGCGTCGGGGTCCCGAGACTGGTGTTCGGCACACTTCAGGATCTTCAAACGGTTGTGTCCCAACGGGGCATTTCTCAGTGGGACTGAACCCTTTTATAGGGGCCGATGCAGAAGGCACTTGGAGGCAGGTTTTATTCCAACATCGTTGATGAGTCTTCGGTTTACACTGGTCCTCCTCCTCCTCCTCCGCCTCCTCCTCCTCCCACAACCACCAACACCACAACCACTACCACCACCACCACCATCATCATCAGCAGCATCATCAGCATCAGCATCCTCATCATCAGCATCAGCATCATCAGCAGCATCACCATCATCATAATCATCATCAACATCATCATCATCATCATCATCATCATCATCATCATCATCATCATCATCATCATCATTATCCTCATCATCATCATCATCATCATCATCATTATCATCGTCATCATCAACAGCATAATCATCACCATCATCACCATCATCATCCTCATCGTCGTAAACATGATCATCATCAGCAGCAGTATCATGATCAAACTCACCATCATCATCATCGTCAACATCAGCATCAGCATCATCATGATCATCATCATCATCATCATCATCATCATTATCATCATCATCATCAGAATCATCAGCATCATCAGCATCACCATCATAAGTAACATCATCAGAATCATCGTCATCTTCGCTGGCGTCGTCATCATCAGCGTCATCATCATCGTCGTCATCATGACCATCATCATCATCAGCATCATCAGCATCATCCTCATCATCGCCGTCATCATCATCATTAACCGAATCATCATTATCATAGAGGGTGCGCCGCTGGATCCCCCCAGAGGGGGGGGTCCACCCCTTTCCCCGATCCGTCGTCGGGGACCCCCCCCTTTCCCGACCCGTCGTCGGGGACCCACCCCCAATTTCCCGATCCGTCGTCGGGGAACCCCTCCCCCTCTCCCCCCCCCCTTCCCCACTTTGACCGCCAAAATCCCCCCCCCCCTTTCCCCCCCTTTCGCCACGGCGTCCCCGAGCTCCAGAACCCGACCCCTACCACACCTAACACTAATCTTCATCCTAACCGTAACCCCTAA